AAGTCACCTTACATGCGCAGCTCAGTCATGTTCTTTATCATCTTTGGTCCAGGAGCCAGTCCAAGATTATGTATTGCATTTTATTCTTATGTTGCTTTAGTCTCCTTTAATATGAAACAGGTCCTCAACATTGGTTGTCTTTCTTGATCTTGATCTTTTTTGAAAAGCACAAGGCCATTGTTTTATAGGGTTCTTCTCAATTTAAGTCTGTCTGATGCTTCCTCGTGACCCGAATAGGTTATGCATTTTGGGCAGGAACACTGCCCAAGTAACGCTATGTCCTTGTCAAGGCCCTTCGGCGGGGAGCACGTGGTGTCAGCTTCTCTCACTGTTGATATGTTGGCACTTGACCGAGGCGGTGTCCACCAGGCAGTTACTCTTTCACTTTGTAATCAATAGGCAACCTGTGAGGAAATACTGCTAAACTCGTAAACATTCTGCCTTCATCAAGCCTTTATCCAGTAGTTTCAATGTATCAATTGATGATTCTTGCCTGAATTAGTTATTACTATGATAGTTGCAAAGTGGTGATTTTCAAACTTTTATATTTACTAGTTGACATTCCACTTTAAGGATGAGTTTTCTCTTCTCCGTTACTTATTTTTTCCATTGACTTATTTAATATCAGTATAGACTCATAGATTCTTAATAAATTTTAATGGGACTCTACAACTTACCTAGTTTTGGAATCATCCCTTAGATAAATCACTTCTCAGTTTTGTGGCTGGGTCAACCTATATTTTCTTCTGTATGTTTTGTTGTTTTAGCTCTTACATTTAGGTCTATGGCCCATTTAGACTTAATTTTTGTATATGGTGTGAGGTTCATGTTTTTGCATCTAGATATCCATTTGTTCCAGCACCATTTGTTGAAAAGGCTGTCCTATCCTCCACTGAATTACCTTGTTACAAAATAAGTTGACCATGTATCTGTGGATCTGGTTCTGGACTCTCTTTTCTGTTTAAGTGATCTATATGTCTATCTTTACATCAGTATCTAATTACTGTAACTTATGGTAAATCTTGAAATCTTCAACTTTGTTCTTTTTCAAATTGTTTTGTCTAATTTAGGTCCTTTGTATTGCCATATAAATTTTATTTTTATTTATTTATTTTCTTAAATATATCTTTATTGATTTCAGAGAGAGGAAAAGAGAGGGAGAGGGAGATTGAAACATCAATGATGAGAGAGTCAGCATTGACTGGCTGCCTCCTGCTCGCCCCCGACTGGGGATCGAGCCCGCAACCCGGGCATGTGCCCTGACCAGGAATCAAACCCCATCGCCTGGATCCTAGGTCGACGCTCAACCGCTGAGCCACGCCCGGCCGGGCTCCATATAAATTTTAGAATCAGTTTTCCAGTTTCTAAGAATTGCCAGCTGAGTTTTTTATTGGAATTGTAGTGAATCTATAGATCAGTTTAGGGAGAAGCGACATCCTAATAATATTGTTTTCCAATTCACAAACATGGTTTATCTTAACAGTTAGTTTTTTTAAATCTGTCTTGCGTTCCATAATAAGAGTGTACAAGTCTTGTACATATTCGGTTACATTTAAACCTAAATACTTCATATTTTTGATGCTATTGTAAATGGTTTTGCTTTTTATTATTCATTGCTAGTATATAGAAATACAACTTATTTTTTTTTTTTAAATATTGGCCTTGTATTCTGCTACCTTGCTAACCCCACTATTCCTAGTGGCTTTTTTGCTGGATTTCTTGGGGGTTCTATATAGGTGATTATGCCATCTGCAAAGAAAGTTGTACTTCTTCCTTTTAAACCTGTATACCTCTTCTGTCTTTTTCTTACCATATTACACTGGCGAGGCAATCCAGTATATAATGAATAGAAGTAGTGACAACAAATCCTTGATTTGTTCCTAGGATTAGGGGGAAAGCATTGTCTTTCCCATTAAATGTGATGTTAACTATAGATTTTTCATAAATGTTAATAGCTGCATAGTTTTCCATAATATGAATGTACAAAAGTTTAGTCATCCATTCTCCTGATGGACAACCACATTATTTCCAATATTCTGCCTTTGGAAACAATGCAGCAATAAGCATCTTTGTATGAATACGTTGGTATTATAGGAACTTTTCTTCTGTAGATTTCCAGAAGCAAGATTGCCCAGTCAAAGGGTATACACATTTTTTATTTTAACAAATATTGCATTACTCTTCTATGTTCCTACCAACAATGTTGAGTACCTTTGTCCCCTCCATCTCCGTATTTGCTGCTCTTGCTATCAGTCTTACTACTTTATCAATCCGATGGGTAAAATAATGTTTTAATTTGCATTTTCTTTGACTGCCATTAATCTTTTCATATGTTTACTGCTTATTGACCACTTCCATTTCCTTTTCTGAAATTGTAAACCCATCTCTTTTGTCTGTTTTTATCCTCCTGGATTTGTCTTTTCCCCAGAAACTTGAAGGTATTCTTTGCATATGGGCAGTATGGCATGCGTATTACAAGAATTTTCATCAAATCTGTTTTTAATTTGACTATTTACAATGCCTTTGGGTACATAATTTTTAAGTTGTTTTAAAAATTAAAATATGTTTTTTTCAATATGGCTTTTGGGTTTACTGACATGCTTATGGTTTCCTTGGTTGGGATTATACAAATATTCATCTAAATTTTCATACTATGTTATTGTTATATTTCTTACATTCACATCTGGAATTTAATTTTGTATATGATGTGAGGAACCAAAACTTGGAACCTTAGAGTTGGCCATAGCACTTCATATCTTGTGGCATTTTTCATGTTTTCATAATACATTCTCCACCCAGCTCCTAATTTCTCCGGCTCCAGACCTTTCTGTTGTCGCACTGCTATGCTGTAAACGTAGGGAAGGCAGGAGCCATGTGTGTCTCTTTCTCTATTGTTTCCTTCGGGAAAGATTAAACAATTGCAAAGCACCTAGCAGTGCCTGACACATTTTAGGCACGCAAAAAACATTAATGGGAAGGAGAGTGTTGAATTCATACCTGCATTACTATTACTGCTTGGCAAGTTTAATATTGCTTGCTTTATCTGTGTAAACAAGGGAAAATGTCATTTTTCTTAAAGCTATTCACTGTCTCATGAGCTCACTCTGTTCCTTCCTTGTCCTGGGTCTTTGTTCTTTGAGGCTGCCCTTCTCTCTATAAATCTGTCTCCTTCCATAAGGACTCCCTTCTTTAGGGAGGCTTTCTTCAAATCCTTTCTTTAAATCCAAATTCTTGCCCTGGCCGGTTTGGCTCAGTGGTTAAGGCATCGGCCCGCAGGCTGAAGAGTCCCGGTTTGACTCCAGCCAAGGGCACATAGCTCGGCTGCAGGCTCGATCCCCGGCCCTGGTTGGGGTTCGTGCGGAGGCAGCCAATCGATGTTTCTCTCTCCCTCCCTTCCACTCTCTGAAAAGCAATGGAGAAAATATCCTCGGGTGAGGGTAAAATAAAAATAATTTTAAAAATCCAAACTCTGCCACACAGTTTAGCATTTAATCCACAATGGATTTTATTCCTTTTCACTGTGCCGGGCACACAGCTCATTAAATCCTTCAGCTGCAACTGAAAGAGTCTTGCATGCCAAGGCCTTTGTTAAGGCTGAAGTATAGCTTCAAGATTTGTTATGAAAGCTCGTGGGTCCAAAACCAAAAAACCCCCAGCAAACTAGGAAGAACTGGAAAATGACCCTGAATTCAGTTAAATACCAGAATGATTTTTCAAGTGAAATTGTGTAATCACATTTAATTTCTTTAAAATACATCTGTTAGATGATCAGATAAGTAGGTATTATTGTGCCTGAAGGCAGAAGTCAACAGACTTTCTTTGGTGTTTTCTATCTCCATGGGTCCCTATATAGTCTTCACCAACTCAGACCTTTGGAGCTTTAGGGGAAAATGGAAAGAAACCTTGTATGACCCTGTTTCGTTTGAAAAAACATCTGAATGGTTCTCACCACTTTCTGCATGAATTTTTATACAAAAAATGGCTAATTCTCAGGCTAGCGCAGAGAATATACAAGATGAGCCTGGAGAATCTTATAATGTCAGAAAATAAGAAAGCACCCAAAAAACAAAATGATAGGGGTATGTCAAAAGAACACAGAGCTAACTGAAAGAATTCCCCGTGGCCAAAGCTGTAACAATTTGAGCAACAAAATAAATAATGTAGTACTGGATTATAGCCCAAAGAATAAATATCCATGAGTTCATACTGATAAAATTAAGTGGTTCAATAAATAAATGAGGGAGAAGAGACAAATCCCCCACAGAGAATGCCAAATAATTTATGTAGCTACTCCACCCTCAGGGAGGTAGAGCGTAACTCCTTACCCCTTAAGTGGGGACCGCACTTAGTGATTTGCTTCCAGAGTACAGTATGAAAAGGGCGAAAGTACCTTCAGGGTGGAGAAGCCTGGCAAAGGCCACCCCAGCCAAGTGATCGGGAACAGCAGCACCGGGTATGGTGTGCTGACAGTATGTACCCTTGATAGGATGAGAATGACATGTCACCTCTGTGGTCGTCCTCCCAAAAACCACAACCACAGTCTAACCATGAGAAAAACAGACAAATCCCAGTTGAGGTACATTCTACAAAATACCTGACCAGTTCTCAAAACAATCAACGTCATCAAAAACAAGGAATGTCTAAGAAACTGTCACGGCCTATAGGAGTCTAAGGAGACGTAACAACTAAGTGTACTCTGGTATCCTGGGTGCGATCTTAGAACAGAAAAAGGTCATTAAGCAAAACTAGTGACATCCAAACAAACCGTGGAGTTCAGTTAATAATATATCACTATTTCATTAGCTGTGACATAGGTACCACAGTAATGTATTCTCAGAACTGGGTGTGGGGTATATGGAAACTCTCTTGTCATATCCTTGTAACTTTTCTGTAAATCTAAAACTATTCTAAAATAAAAGTGTGCTTAAATATTTTAAAAACACAAGTTTGGGGCAAAGATGACTACATACTTATCTCCACAACTGTGCTTTTAATTACAGGGTGCTGGTGACAGTTTCGTAGGAGCTTTGGCCTTCTACTTGGCTTATTACCCAAATCTGTCCTGGGAAGAAATGCTCAAGAGATCCAACTCCATTGCAGCAGTCAGTGTCCAGGCTGCAGGAACACAGTCATCTTATCCATACAAAAAAGACCTGTCACTTGATTTGTTTTGATTGCTATTAACTCCAAAATAAATACACCTGAAAATAAAGTGTACTTGGGGCTGGCCACTCTTAACTAGCAGTTTACTATAAAACATCTTTTCCTTCTTTGCAAATATTGTGTTCATTTACTAAGTCATCCTTAAGCTTTCACTTATTTCTTTACAATGACTTTCTTTGCTTTTCATCAAGAGCTAACCAGAAGTAAGGATTCCAGGACCAGGACCTGTACAAACATTATGACGACTCAAGAACCGGCAAACTCTATTGCCAACAGATCGTGACCACTGCATGTTCAACACACAGCAGAGGCCATGGACAAGGGTCCAGTCAGAGCAGAGAATGTTAAACAAGGGACGGGGGCATATGAATCGGACCACTCAAGCAGTTCCTACGAGGGACAGCTGATAACTTGGCTTTGGCTTTAGTATTGTCAAAGCTTCTGGTTTTGCCAGAGAAGCCAGAAGTTCTGGATGTTTACTGAAATCCTTGAATGTTTAAGTGTCAGCAATCATTTTTGTAAAATATAAACACCACCTGTGGGCTGACTCCACGTGCCAAATCAAGTCATTGGTTAAGCCAGTATTTAAGTTTTTGTTTTGTTTTGTTTTGAAAAAGGCAATTCATGCATGTCACAGACCCTTTACACTAAGCTTAGCTAGTAGGACCAGATGAAAGATTTTTCTTGGAACCCAACACCATTATGTATAGTTTCAATCTAAAAATAGCCAAGATCTCACCTATTACTGCTTTGACCCAGAGCTTTAACAAAAGATGCCATAAAAGAGCTGAGTGACTATAAAGCCACAAGCCTCTAAGACTGAGCAACTGTCTAATCTCATTCCATTTCCCGAGTGCTACTCTTGCATTTCCTCTGGAGACACAGACTGGGCCATGGGGAGGGGACACCTGTTTCTTTGGAACAGTATTGGTTTCCTAATGCTGATAGTCATGGTGAGCACCCTCATTCTGCCACATAAATGCCTTAAATGGGGCAGGATATGAACAGAACTCAAAAACAAGCTCATCCCTCTTACCTTCAGCCAGAAATTTGATGAGAAAACTGGGCAATTTTAAAAATCTGTGGGAAACGACAGCTTGAGAAAGTACATAGGTCTGGACAGGGCAGGAGTCTTTCCCAAGCGGGTTGGCCGTGCAGTGACACATGCCCCAGAGCCCTCACTGTAGCTTTATGGAAATAACATTAGATACTGCTTTCATGACCCGAGTTTGAGAATATGGACCAATGGTATTTTCCCCGAGTATAAAAGCACCAATCAAAAATAGTTCTCTCAGTTTCTTTAGTGTCAGAAGGCTGAGGCTGGCTCCCCTCTTACCATTCCTGCTCACCTTTGCCATCTGTCACTCACGACATAGGAGTTTTTTCAAGATCACTGGAGTGAGACTCTGCCTTTTCTATGACGTACAAGGAGGAACAGCCTGGAAACTCTTACACAAGTCTCATTGTGGAAAATGTTCTTTCATTACATGAAACAATGGTTATTTTTTAGTAATGTAGTTGTGTTTTTAATTTCAAATAGCAGGGGGAAACATCACTAAGAGACAATAGCACAGGCTATTTTAATAGTTTTTATTAAGGGCTATAAAAATACCCAGAAAGATAAATAAATGTGATGCAATGATATATGTCCTAATATGAAGAACTTTCTTTCACTGCATTGTTTTCTTCACAATGGCCTTCAAATCACAGGAGGCAGAGATTCCGTGTCATTTCCTCTTCTTTTATTACATGCTGCAGAATTTCTGAATCAGTATCCCGCCCTCAGTCTTCTCGTTTGTAAATCAAATTCATTTTCAATCCATTGTTTAGAGGGAGCGTATTTTTTTCTGTTCCACAAAGAGGACTTTTGCTTTCACTACAGAAGGAGAAAAAAGGATTATGGCAGAAACTAAGTATCATCACAGTTTCCCAATAAAAAACATATCAGGCCACAGGCCCTCTCCTTTCTCTTATTTTACTTTCCTTTGACATGGGCATGGAGTTGACTTGCAACCTCAGTTCCTGGATCCCAGAGGCCAGAGAAGAGTAGAGAAAATGGTAAGGAAAAAAGGAAAGGTCCAGCCAACCAGTGGCATCCTCATATTTCAACCAATGTGAAATATTCAAATTAAAAAAGAAATTATGGGCAGAAGCTGGAAAACAGTCGATGCCGTCACCCAGTTAATATCCACTCTTGTAGGAGGTAAGCAATGACCAGTGGAGCTGGACTCCAGAAAAAGAGCAGTAAGAACTGCGCAGACCAGGGAAGAAAAACACAAATTAAGCCTTGTACTTTCCAGAGATGGTTTCATACACCCAACTATGGATTTTCTAACTTGGTAATAGAGTTAATATTATAACCACAATCTCATTATTATAAACTTAAGAGAGTGCAGTTCTCTGAAACAAAAACACAATAAAAGTGCTAAATGCGCAGATAAAAGACTGGAGACTAGATGCTAGGCAATGTTTTCATAGTTCCTACAATGCCCTATAGTACTCCATTCACTTCATCTCTCTCTCTCCTCACCCCCCTCCCCGTCACACACACACCCCTTTGTTCTTCTTTGCCAAAAAAGCAAACACTGCACCCAGGAAGACCCAGGAACTCGAAAGACTAGGACATAACAATTCACTTGTCCCTATCATACAGAAATTTTAGCTTTGTTTTCTCTTCTACAATCAACATGGACACTCTGTATAGGAGATTCCCAAACTGTCTATGATTAAGAATTAGCCAGGTAATCTTACTGAAATAAATTCCTGCCCTAATTCTGATTCAGCAGATCTAGAGTGGGACTGGAAGTCTACATTTTTTTAAGCTCTCATGATTCTAATGGGCAGCTGGACTTGAGAACCATTAACCAGTCAATAGAATTTTATCTATATTACTAAAAATAAAATGTACTTATTACACAGGGATATTTTTAATATATGTCAAGTCATCTAATATTAAACATAAGTAGGACTGATGCTCCTTCAGAGCCCAAGGAAGACTACAGAGCATTATAAAATGGCAGTAAACAAAAGTTTCCTATCAGACAAAATTATTCATTGCAAGAAATAGTTTCCCATGTTTTTCTACATAGAGCTAAGAAGACAGATAAAAGAAGGAACGAGTCTTACTGATAACCAATCAGGAGATTATCAGGTGGCTGTAAACAGGAGGAATGGCAAGGATTAGTAAACCAGGCTTTGCTTATGGAAATGTGTGATTCATTCACAGCATTCACCCCCATAACTCAAAGAATAAATGCTGAAGTCCACAGAACTGTGTCAGGCAACATGGAGTTTACAAGAGTGTAAGAGTCGCCCTTGGGCATCTGGTGTGGAGGAATGGCAGTAAGAGGCAGGAAGCAGTGGGGCTGCACAGCCTGAAATGCTGGCTGACCCCAGGGGAAGGTCCTGGTTAAGAAAAAACAATTTGCCTGGCCAGGTGTGGCTCAGTGGCTGATCATCGACCTGGGATCCAGGAGATCGAAGTTCGATTCCAGGTCAGGGCACATGCCCAGGTTGCAGGCTTGACCCCTAGTTGGGGGCGTGCAGGAGGCAGCCGATCAATGACTCTCTCATCACTGATGTTTCTATACCTCTCCCCCACCCTCTAAAATCAATAAAGATATACTTTTTAAAAAGAAAAAGAAAAATTAGGACGATGAATTTGGCTCCATGTAATAGAAAGGAGGCCTGGAGTCAGAAAGTTTGGGTTCAAACCTGGGCTCTACCATTTTTCTGCTCTAAGTCCTTGGGCAAATTTCTCAAAATACCTTCAGTTTCTTTCCCCAGGAGAGAGATAACTCCAAATCCCTCGCAGGGATGCTGCCAGATTCCCAGTGACTGCTCAATGCGTACTAGCTGAGCACTGCTATCCACAGTCATAAACGTAAATTAATTGTCAAAATATTTGCTGCTTAATACACAGAAGAATGAATCTGTCAAGTTCTTTCCCTACATCGAACCTAAATACATTCTGCTTCAATTAAAGTCTATGTTGTCCTGTTTAGTCAACCAAGGAATTAAAACTGACAAGTCTTCATTTTCTTTATGATAAACCTTCATATATTTTACAAACTTTAATAAGCTTATGCCTCAGCTTTTAATCCTTCCTCCTCAGAAATTCGCATCTAGTTTTATGTGAGGAAAGGGAGTTTGGAAGGTCAGAGGCTAGTCTTAGCCATAGAGTATACTATGAAATGCTTAAATAACTGAGAATTTTTGTTTCCTTACCTGATTTCCTTCATAAAGCAGACTAACAAAACATTACCCTTACCCTAACCATTTATTCACTGCAGTGAAATATGCTGGGAGAACTGCCAAGCTATTTGGTGCCCTAAGCAATGGGCAGGCCGCAAGGCAAATATCAGCACGCAAGCCCACAGGGCATTCAGTAAGAAGGTGGGCAGAAAGCCAGGCAGTGTGATGTCCCAGAACATTCTCTTCTTCAGAAAAGACAAAGCTGTGCTGTCAAGGCTCAGACCACTCCTTATCAGAAAAGTTCTAATCATCTGTTTAAAATTTATATGTGAATCTTTTCTCCCACTTTCAACTTACGGTCAGAACTGTTTATGGTTGAAACTTTCCCCAATCTCAAAACTTAAAATCAATCTAACAAAAAGTAAGTTCCTAACACAGAGTCCCCTTGGTATCCATGGGGGGTGGGGGGGGGTTCTAGGAACAAATACCAAAACCCACAGATGCTCAAGTCCCTCATATAAAATGGGGTAGTGTCTGCATAAACCAACACACATCCTCCCGTATACTTGAAATCATCTCTGGATTACTTATAATACTGAATACAGTGTAAATGCTTTGCAAGTAGTTATATTGTATTGTTTATGGAATGAGAGGGGGAAAGTCTGTACAAGTTCAGTGCAGACACAGCCATCATAGGCCTAACTGCACAGTACATGTCGGTAAACACATATTTTCAATCCCTCAAATGTTTTCAATCTGTGGTTAGTTGAATCCACAGATGCAGGACCCACAGATATGGAGAGCCAGTTGTACCTCCAAACTAAGGATGAAAATTCCAATACATTTTCATACTTAAATTATAGGTTATTCAATCAACATTAATGTAAAAGTTCCTAAAAAACTCTCCAGAAGCTAAAATGATAGAACATGCGTCATTATATTGCACTTTGCTTTCCTGCACTTTGCAGATAATTGCATTTTTTACAAATTGAAGGTAAGGCAATCCACCAGCAAAAAGATTACAACTCGCTGAAAGCTCAGATGATGGTTACCATTTTTTAGCAATAAAGTATTTTAAATTAAGGTATGTACACTGCTTTTTTAGACACAATGCTATTGTATACTTAATAGACTACAGTATAAACATGACTTTTATATGCACTGGGAAACCAAAAACTTCATATGACTCACTTTACTGCAATACTGTGGAGGTCTTGAACTGAACCTGGAAGATCTATTTATTGTAAAGCTCATTAGAATTTTCACCAACTGATACAAAGAAATCAGAGGGAGAAAACCACCACACCAATCCAAAATCATATTGCTATGGTCTGAATGCTTGTGTCCCAACCACCCCGAATTCACACTGAAATCCTATCCCCAAAAGATGATCGGAGCCTTTACAAATGGGATTAATGCTCTTACAAAAGAAACCCCACTGAGCCTGCCTGCCCTTCTACCACGTGAGGACACAGCAAGAAGGCACAGGCTATGAACCAAGAGGGCCCTCTCCTGAAAGCGACCATGCTGGAACCTTGATCTTGACTTCCCAGGCCTCAGAACTCTGAGAAATAAATTTCTGTTGTTTATAAGCCACCCAGTATGAGGTATTCTGTTACAGCAACTCAAAGAGACTGTACAACATATAGCTTAACATCCTAATAATTCTCTACCATGTAAGGTATCATCAGGTACAAACCTAGAGTTCCCTTTTTACTGTACTGAAGAATGACCAGAAATTTTAACACCATAAAAACAGGGAATTTTATTTCTGTTAAAGAATGGAACTCACACAATTTTAAGCTGCTTCTCAGAGCCATTTTTAATGCCTCCTCACATTGGTACAGCCCTTACTTTTTTTTTTTTTTGAAGTTTATTTTTATTTTTCTTATACGTTGACAAATGCAGCACAATGAACAGTGGTTGTAAGACCTTCTTAACAAACTGAAGGCAGCTATAAAAGTAGCTGTCAGCCAGCATTCACACTAAGGCCCAACTGGAGGTCATGCAGCAACAAGCAGGCTTTAGCCTCCTGTGAAATCTGTCAATAACGGGTCCCTACATAAAGTGGTTCAGGGCCCGGCCTTTGGAGTCAGACAGTCCTGAGTTCAAATCTTTGCTTTGTCACGTTTAGCTGTGTCCTTGACAGGATCCTTGGCATTAGATTCCTTATCTACAGAATGGGATTCGGATTGCCTGGAGAGTAGTGCTTGTGTTATGACGGATTCACAGCATCTGAACCTGAGGACTTGTATGGGTAAGCACAGAATACACAACTTTCCACTTTGGGTATTCACAAGCGCTCGTCCATTTCCTTTCTCGCAGAGATCACTGTCCTTGGTCATCTATGTTGTCCCTTTTTAGTTGTTGTTTCAGGTGGGAAGGTAAATTTATTCCCTATAACTCCATCTTGACCAGAAGCCAGAGTCTATGAGTTCTCCTTCTTAATGAAAAGGTTGATTATGAAGTTAAGAGCCTGTCTTTCATTATATAATGGATTAATTTGGGGAAATAAGATTCTGGTACCAATTCCAATTCTGATCACCAAGTGAATGTCTTACAATTCCACTCAATTCTGACACTATCTACCTGGAAACAGTAACTCAGGAATAGCCAAATGGAAGTGACGCATGGGCAAGGTATGGGGAAGGGGCGCAAAGCTTCCATAACCTCTCCGAGCTTGTCACTCTCTGGAATCTCCACATGTTCACCAACCCAGAAGCTCCAGTACAGCCCTTATTAGGAAGCAATCATAAGGGGGGCTATTTAAAAGCAAGGGCAGAAAATGAATGGCCCCAAGTTTTCAAATAAGTTATTTGTTTGCTAGTTTATTTTGCATCAGTCTGCTCATGAAACCCAAAAATGGTAGTCAGGTGCTGACTTGTGTTTGTGAGCAGGCAATCTGGCCTTGGGAACGCTTGTCCCCTTTGAACAAATACTTCTAAATAATGAGACCATTTAAAGTTACCATTGTATTTTAGCAGATGGTATAAAATAGAAATGAAATTTCCTACCCTCCTGCACTAATATATAGAAACCATACTTCTTGAACTCAAATTTGGACCTAATTACTTGCCACTGTTAGACAAAAGATTCCAGATCCCAGAACATTCCCTCTCCTTCTGAAGACACTCATCTATTTCTGTTTCCAGAACAGCAGCACCTATTCTCTTTACATGGCTGTTTTCTCACCTCAGATCTTTGGTCAGCCATCTCCTACAGGAGAGACTATCCCTGATCTAGCCGATCTAAAGTTGAGATCCACCTCCCCCCAACTTCGCCCTGTATCTCAGCATCCTGCTTTTCTCTCACAGCACTCAGCATAATTCACATTTTTTTCTTTCTCTCCCTTCCAAATCAGGCTGTAAGTGCCAAGAGTATAGGAACTGAGCCTGCCATGTGTCCTAATATACCCCAGCACCTGAGATAGTGACTGGGACCAGAGTAAACATTCAATACATACTTGATGATTAAATGCTAGTGTCAAAAGAGCCAAAACAGTGCCAAATGTTCTACATCAATCAGTCTGGAAAGAGCAACAGGCCTCAAAAGCATTTAAAATTTAACGTGGAGTAACTTTTCTGTATCTTACCAACTGGATCATAATGCAGTAAAGTCAGTTTCTCCCGTAGTCGGCTTCTCTTAGTGTTGAAGGAGAAACCTGTCCCAGCTTGGCTTACCATTCTCACCAGAATGGTCCTAAGATTTAAAAGTAAGCTGTTAGAAGCTGAAGAAACAGATTAAAATCAGTCATAAGGAGATGGCACATTTGGAGAACCCCATACAGTAGTTGTGGGACATCACTTGGCCCTTAGAAGGTTCAGTTCTAAGACAGACTACATTTTCTAGAAGTCACAATTTCAGTGGTTTTGATTGCCAAAGTTAGTTTCATTACATAGAGTGTGTAGGTAATGACCTAACCAAAGCAGTAATATCAAACCACATTGTAGGAACAGACTGACATTCACCTCTCAGAAGGAGCAGAGGTCAGGAGGAAAAACCATACAAATGTACTGGCAACCCTAGGTGGTCGGTCTGGAAATCATAAAGACAACTGTTCCAGAAGAGCCCTATCTACCAGGGATGAGCAGTAAGAGTAAAATCAGGAAGGGACAAAATGAAGGGATTAGAGCTGATATTGCTAACAGGTAACACCTTTTCCCTCAACATTCCCTTCAAGTTATAGTCCTTCCAGGCATAAAGCTCACGTTTTGCCTCACTGGACCTTTTAATACCTTGTACTGTTCGTTACTTTTTCATGTGTCTTGTCTCCCTGTGTAAAACATGCTGTTTTATTTCTCATCTAATTCTGAAAAGAATAGTTAAGCACAGTGCCTTATACAGAAGAGGCATACAGTATTTGTTGATTAAGAGGCGATAATTAGCCATTTATTTTAAAAGATTTATAAAAATTCTGTTAAGTGCTTACTCTGTGGAAAGCACTATGGGAAGTGCTAAACTCTATTAAGGCTGCACCTACACCCTTGAGAAACTAACAGTATAGTATGCAAAGTGAATTGTGTACAGAAGGTCTATTAAGGCAAAACATATATGACAAGAAGGATACAAAGAACATGAGAGGCAGGGAGTGGCTCTAAAGAAACTGGAGACATGAGAGATTCCTACAGAACCTGGAGGAGGGAAATTCTAACATAAATAACTGGATTGTGGGGAAAACTACATGAATCAGTAAAAGATATTGGGGTGGGGGAACACCAATATACATGTTTTTCATTAACTTTAACGCAAAAAAAACCCACTCATAGTCTTAAGGATTTATGATCTGTCTTGGGTTGTAAACAAAGGATGCTTTAGCATTCTCCTATTTTTAACACAAAAAAAATCTTCAGTTACTGTCTATAAAAGTTATTTTAAGATAACAGTTTGGTATTTATAGTCCCTCTGGTACATCATGAATTCTTTAATCTTTGCTATTTTTGAAATGCTTATACCATGAATGCAAAGGATTACAAAACTCATTAAAATAGGCTTTATGGTTTAATCAAATCACAGCTTGTTCTGCTAGATTCCTGTGGTGGGCTCCAGACAAATAGCCATTGGTCCTCAATTTGAGGAAAGAAAAATATTATGGAAGTCCATAGAGAGCATGGAGACTGACGGTTTCTTCAGGAACAGGACAACAAGAGCTCCTTTAAGTAATTTGAATGCTCACTTAAGTAGGTGAGTTGGGAAGGAGGAAAAATATTTTTTGAAAGAGTTCATAGGGCCAAAAAAATTCATCATGTAAGTAGCCCTCAAACCAAATGCTTAGTTTAACATAAGGATGTACTGGCGGCAGCTGGAATGTCACAAGAAGTAAACAACATCAACAAGTTATGTTTAAAAAAAGAAAACCTTTTACTTACTTTGACTTGCTCTTGGCAACTTTTTGAAGCAAGGAAAGGTTGGAAAAGAAAAGAAAAATATCAGTGATTATCTTTCTTATGCAAAGTTCATATAAATGTCACTAACAAAACTATTTACCATCACAAAGTATGTCATGGTTCAAAACCTGAGACCTAGGGTAAAGCACTGCCCCTTCTCTCTAGCGTCTGAAACGAGTGGACTAGAAGTTCTGAGGCTGTTCCCAGTCCCGACGTCACACATCCCCACGGCGGGCGGGAAAGCGCCCGGTTCCTGCGGGGCCCGCGACCCACAACCGGCTCGCGAGCTGCACCGCAGGCCCCGGGACCCGCTCCCGCAGTCACGCGCGCCGCGGGGCATGCCGGGCGCTGTAGTCCTAAGGCCTGGAGGCCGCAGCAACAGCTTCCCCGCGGCGCGCGCCCGCCCCGCTACGTCCCGGGCCTGCTGTCGCTGCCCCCCGCCCCCGCCGCGTCCCGCAGCCCCACTTACAGGAGACCGCGGACAGCAGCATGGTGACTGCCCCCCTGCAGTCTCCGAACGGGGCCAGAAGTCCTGGACAAACTGCTTCCGGGGCACAGGCCCGTTCCGGAAGGGGCGGCCTGGGCGTGGCCAGCAGCCCCGCCCCTGGGTAGAATCCCGCGTCCGCCCTGCCTCAAACCTGTGCTCCTTAAAAGGCGGGTGTTGCGTTTGAGGGTGGGGGATGGTGAAGTCCCTTCCTTCAGATGAGAGGCTGTTAGCGTTCAGGGTTGGCGCCCCAGGCCCTGACCCCACGCCTGCTTCTGGACCAGTTAGGTGCTTTCCATACTTGTTTCACTAAAGAATCGCACCCCTATGTTAAAGCCAGGGGAACGGTATGTGTTCCTCAGCAGCTCCAGGCTCAAACGCCCACATATTTCCTCAAAATGTTGCCTTCTTTTGCCTCCCCCAACCTAAATCCATGTTCACCTGGTTAAGATCTAGTTTCAGTCTCTTTGGAGTAACCCCACCTGAATATACCTATTCCTTAATTAATGTTAGGTTTTGTCAGCCAGCGGTCCTTGGTGCCAATTCAGCACCAACAGGAATCCCCAATTTGGGGGGCAGGGACCAAGTAAACGTCACAGGATGGCAAACGAGCAGGCTGTTAGAAGGTGCTAAGGTGAGGAAACCTACAATGCAGGTTCCCACAAAACAGGAAACCCGCTCGGTTACCTACCCAGGAGCTGGCTTATATAGCCAGAAGTCCCCGCCCCTGGTCCCTGATTGGCCCTCCCTCATGCAAATGAGGACTCCAAACCATCACAAGTTGATTGGTCCATAAAACACTGTCCTGATTGGCCGGAATGGAGCTGCTCTGTTTGGTCGGTGAAGGTGCTGGTCTGGGGCGCAGGGCAGACTATAGCTGCACAGCTCCAGGTGGAGAGGAAGAGCCTCAGTCCTGTCGGCTGAGGTAGGAGGGGCACTCCTCTACAAGCCTTGGCTCAGGTGGGACGCAGTGCAGGAGGCAGGTGGGTCAGTGCACACTTCTCTCTGAAATGAAGTTTGAGAGGCCCCTGTGTAAAAATGGCTGCTAGGCTCTGTTTTGTTGGAGCCAAATAAGCCACGGGAGCGCTTCTCGGTAGGTATCTTCTTTCTCAGGGTCCACAATTTCTAGGATGGCAGAACCCTGTGCATCTAACTGTATCTAAGCACCCAGCGGGGGAATGGATAACAGATTGGGAGCTCTCACACAACTTGCTTAATGTCACAAAGCTAGTAAGTGGCAGAATTTTAACTGCAAAGACTCATGCCTTTCCCACTAGACCAGGGATGGGACCTATCATGAGAGGCATGCCCAGGGCTCAAGCCTTGGACCTCTTCTCTTCTCTGTCCACACTCGTGCCCTTGGTGGTCACACCTAGGCTTCCGGTTTTAAAAAAATCTATAGGCTGACGATTTCTAAATTTATACCTCCAGTCCCGACCTTTCCTCTGAACTCCAGATCGGTGTATTTAGCTACCTATGTGACATCACGTGTCCAAAATCAAATTCCCAAACTTGCTGTGCACCCCCCAGGCTTCCCTCATATTGGTATATGGCAATTCCATTTTTCCAATTGCTCAAGTAAAAAGCCTGGGAGCCAACTTGACACTTCTTTCTCTCACACCCTAAATCTAAGCCATCAGTAAATTGTCACTCAAATGCCACCTAATCCACATGCACTCCCTATTCTCCTTACCCCGCTTTACATTTTTCTATAACGCTTATCACCATTTCATATTACTTGTGCATTTGTTGCTTCCTTATTGTCTGTCTTTGTCCACCAGAATGTGGACATCTTAACTTCTTAAGATCAGGAACTTGTCTTATTTGCCCACTGCTCTATTCTGGTGCCTAGGACAATGCCTGCTACATCTATTAAATATCAGTTGAATAAATGAATTAATTATTTAATGAGTCTGAAATGAGAGGCTCTTTATAAATGTTAAATTATTACTAAACATTCACGTTTAAATGGCAAACAATGATAAGTATTTGTGTATTGTCCATAGTTTCAGGGTTCAGGAGAATTTAGAAGCTTGCTTTTAAGAAGAGAGAAGCACATGAACTGTTTCTTGAAATTCTTGGAGTAGAAAGGAAGCGGTGGCTTTCTGGTCTCATTACTTCAACCTACCTCCACCTGTTATTTACACCTAACACATTGTTGTCAGTTGGTGTTAATTAGAGTGTTTATTAATACAGATGTAATTCATGATTTGGACAGGTTTTGCCTGAATTTACATAATGAGTCCTGTGCACCTTATTAAAGCACAGAACAATCACAGCAGCCTGGCAGCCCAAGTTGAATGTGGGGGGCACCATCCTCTTTGGGCAGGAAGGTGCTGAAGGGAGGGAAAGGTACAGCTATTTAACCTGGATTCTCCTCGCAGGAAAGCAGGTGGAGGAAGAGAACATTCATTGAGCACCTCCTCTTGAAGGCCTAAGACTCGACCTGTGTTGTATTGGTCAGCACCGTGCTCCCAGAGCTCCGCACTGGGAGTCCAACCCAAGGATCTGGAGGCTCTTCTCCTCCTCTGATGTGCGGAGAGGTCCCACTGGCCATTGTCCAGCCCACCGTCATACCTACGTCCCACCTGACTGTTCTTGTCTATATGGTTGTGATCCCAGCTCCCTGACCTGTCCCACATGGGCGGGGGTGGGGCAGCCTGCAGAAGGCTGGGGCTCCCTGCAAAAAGCCGGCACCTTCACAAGCTCAGACACTTCCAGCCACATAGAATAGCTTCGAAATTGGGTCCTCTGCCTGAACAACTTAGTATTACAGCAGACTTCCTGAGAGAGCAAGACTGAAAGCTCGCAAGACCAGGGGGCACCAACCAGGTTCAATCTGAGTGCAGTCAGTATCCTCAGGTTGGCATTCAATTCCCTTCCACAATCTGGCCTCAGCCTCCTAATTCAGCCCCATCTCTCTTCACTAGGCCCTAGTGGGTTTCAGTCCCTTTCTGGATGAAGTCTCTCCTGACCCTCCACTCCCCATCCCACCCACCTCCTCTCCAAGCACCTATTATGCTTCCCACACTCCTCAGATGGCTGGTCTGCCTCCCCCTTGCATCTAAGTCCCTCTAGGACCAGAGCTTCTGAATCTCACTATATCAGCCCCCAGGCTCCCCCAAGCAGGAGCTCCTAACACAAGGACTGTCCCGCTCACTTTGACAAATATGAACAGAGCATCTTGTGTCATCTGGGAACCCTGCCTCCAGCCACTCTCTGCCTCTTCAATCCTAGCCCCCCTCTCAGTTCACCAGGGACAGGGAAAGTGGGAGAAACCCCGGGAAAGAACAGACACAAAAGCACAGAGGAGTCTTAAAAAGGAGCAGCGGGCATCCTCCTGGGGCCAGAGTGAGTGAGGAAATGAGGGGGATGAGCTGGAGAGGACCACCCGGGCTGGGTGAAGAAGGTGGCATGGCGGAGGGTTGGGCCTCGGTTCTGGGGCCAGTGAGGAAGTTCAGGGGTGTGACCGCTCTCTGTGGTGGCAGCATCTGAAATCATACCATTTTCCCAGCTAATAGGAAGAGAGCAGGGACTCTTCCCACCAAACACATTCCTAAGGCCCCCGCACCTGGGAAGCGACAGTGGGCACCTTACTGCTCTGCACGTTGATACCTACTTATTTAGTGAATACATGTATTTGGTGTTTACTTTAAAATTGGTAAGTTCTTCCTGTTTATTAATTATCTTAAGCCAGACACTGAGCCTGTTTTGAGGGGGAGAAAGGGAAGGAGAAGGGTGTCATAGAAGCCTTTGGAAACCGGCTGAAAGCTATGGCTCAGCTTCCCCAGGAAATGCCCAAACCCCCAACCAGAAACTGTTTCACCTGACTCTCCAGTGTGCTCAGCCTGGCTGCGCATCGGAGTCACCTGGGGGCTACTGCAGCCTGCCTCCCGCCCCCAGAATTTTTAGTTTAATTGATCTGAGTGCAGTCTGGATGTTTTTCAAGATTGAAAGTATGGGGCTAGGGATTTGTGGACTCCAAGTTAAGACCCCCATCTTAGACCGTAAATTCCAGGTACGTCCATTTACCTTTGCACTGTGAGCAGCACCTACCTGGGTAGAGACAGGAGGGGAGAAAATGGCCATTTGGAAGAAAAAAGACGTCTTGAAGCTGTAAAAAAAAAAAAAAGTAGCAAAGGAGCCGCTGAAACCGAAGACAAAGAGCAGGAAGCTTAATTGCCGTCCTGAAAGATGGATGGAAGTCCAGCAGACAACACCCTTCCCACCCACATACCTCACCTGCCCCAGGAAAGGCCGCAAACATTATCAAAAGGCTGACAGAGTCAGTCTTTGGGGAAAATCAACCAATTAAGCATGTGGTTTGCTTAGTGTGTGACGTGGGTGGGGAGAGGATGGCATTTATGGGTGCCAAAGAAAAGCATCCGCCAGGGAGTGGAGGTTTGCAGGTAATGGACTGAAACTCGAACGGGGGAGGGGAAGGCTTGGGTCACAGTCAAGGAGACGCATTCCTGGGATGGGAGGGCAGCCGGGCTGATGGCAGCAGGGGGAGAGGCGGCTGACCTGTGCACTGGAGGCCCAACTCCACTGTTTACTAACCACACGACCCTGGGCAAGAACCTGGCCTGGGTTTCCTATCTGGGGCTGCGTGATAATAACTGGAGGAGCTCACAATCTCAGAAAATTATCATTAGGTCATCTCCAAAGCTTCTCCACTGTGAAGTCCCATGACTAGGAAAGTGCCCTCCAAAAATGCTCTTTGAGCCCAGCCGGGTGTGGCTCAGAGGTTGAGCATCGACCTAGGTCCAGGCGATCAGGGTTCAATTCCCGGTCAGGGCACATGCCTGGGTTGTGGGCTCGATCAATGACTCTCTCATCATTGATGTTTCTGTCTCTCTCTCTCCCTCTCTCTTCCTCTCCCTGAAATCAATAAAGATATTTTAAAAAATTTAAAAAAAAAAAAAATGCTCTTTGAGGTTTTCAAACCTGCTATCCATCAGTGACCTGGGGTGCTCACTGCCAGATAATGTGACTCCGTGGGAAAGGATGGGGGTGTCCGCCGGTACTTATAGTTCTCTCTGGTGCTCCTAATGTTGCCA